GAAAAAGACAAAGACAAAGCTACAACAGATAAAAGACCTCAAGAATGTACATCTAGTTGAAACTACATTGCATTAATTAATAGCTGCACTTTTTGCAAACTGTGGCTATGACATGGACTAGATAAAAATTAATAGACACAACATTTTTCTTAGCAATTCTGAAGTCACTATAAAAAGAAGAAATAGTATCAGCAGTCATCTTAACCATTGATGCTCTTTTCAAACAAGACATGGGAATACTCCTATTTGACCTGTAGAGAGCTGTTCTTTGATGTGCTAATAGTATTTTAGAAATAATTAAGAAAATGAAAGTTTTGATAATATATGTTGTGTCACCTAATTTTTACATTACTTTTGATGTGAAAATGTTAAATTTCAATATATTGAATATTAATATATTAGTGTCATGTTGAAAGAAAAATTAGAGATCTAGATTGAACTACATTGTTTCATAAGTAATTGTTGAAATTTTAGGATTGTTATTTTAAAAGTATTCAACTTTTTAAAATAAAAAAAATTAAATACAATATCCAATTTGCTTTCTATTTATAATGCTCTTAGGACAGGTTTATTACCTGAAAAGTAATAGCCACAGTACAGGATTTTTACATTGTATACAACAGCAGGTTTGAACAAAACTAGCTGAATGAAGATTTTCACTGACTATGTTCCCTACGCTGTTCTGTAGGGAAACAAATTAAGGGAACTTCCAAGTATCCCACAGTTTTGTTTCGTTAATGATTTCCTTTATTGAACAACTGTTACACAATGTTTCTGCCAAGTGCTTATGCCCATAGCCAGTACTTTGAGTGCCAACAGTCAGCACTTTTGTTTTTAATTAAGACTTTATTTTTTTAAGAGTAGTTTTAAGTTCACAGCAAGTCGGTCCTTTTTTATTTGGCTTTGCATGCCTGGTTTTCTAGAATTTACTCTGTTCCCAAATATATATTTTCTGGTTCTGAAAATACATATTTGGTAGATTTTGCTTTTGAAGCACATTGTGGATAATAGTGATTTAATTTTTTTAAAATAGGCTTTATTAGAAGAGAAAATAGGGTATTTATGTAATAGAAGAAAACAAAGTAGCTGTATCTTAAAACGTGAATTATTATGTAGAAAGAGCCATTCTCACAGTAATGAGAAAATGGAGAGATGCATTATATAGGTGGCTAATCTCCAGGACCGCTTTTCTTCATTCTAAATTACTTCTTAACATCGGTTTTAGTCATTTGTTTGTGTTTTCTTGAATTTGTTTTTGGCACCTAAACAAATTATGCCAGAAGAGCTCACCACTCTAATTTGATTGCATAAGTCTTGGTGCTAATCATTTGCATAACAGATTTTAGTGGGAGACACTATGGAAACTGCTTTATAAAATTTTTTGTTTTCTTTTTCTTTCTTGAATTGCTGGAAACATCTGTTCTATTAAAGAAAAGCTTAACGTGAGATGGGATGAATTTATTTTACCTCGGTTCTCTTTGCCGCTTGGCTCTCCTTTTATTTATTCCTCGAGGATTTGTCACACCCTGCACTATTACTGATAGAAATCTTTACCATTTTGCCCCAGGATCCTAATCAGCTCTCTTTTGCAACTCTCTCCAGATGGTTTGTCCTCCCTGAGAAGAAAACCAACGTGCACTCTGCCTTCTACTTTTATCACTTCCTTCATACCTTGTCTCTGGAGCCGCAGTGCCTTCCTGCGCACCAGGCTTAGGAAGCGCAGTGAGCACGCCTGTGTTTTCCATCCTTTCCCTGCCCGCTCTGCTCTCTGCCTTGCTGCCCCATTATCTCCTCTTTCTCCTGCGCCTCAGTCTTTTCTTCTTTCTATTGATGCTCTTTCTTTCTTTTTCTGACATGCACAGGTCAAAACTGTCTTGGAAAAATTTCATTTTACTTTTTTGCCCTTTAATTTTGCCAGGTTTCTCCTCCTTGGTACTAATATATTTTTCAAGTGAGTGGTCTATACGGTTTCCTTCCCTTGTGTTCCTTCCTCAGCTTTCTACTTGGACTTGAGAGTCCCCATTACTCTTCGGAAAGAGACCTCTTGAAAGTCACTATTTTCTCTTTTCTCAATCACCAAATCCACTGCCCTCTTTTCCCGTTTTTGTCTCTAGAGCTGTCCGAAAGATGAAGGAAACTTGCCATGTTCTATGCCAGGCACCTTTGTATCTTCGCAAAAGCCTTTTACTTTTTACTCATTAGGACCCAAAGCTCAAAAAGATTGGGTAAATTCTTTATATCAACATAATCATTAAAGCAGCAGAGCTGTAATCTGGTCCCACTTCTGAAAATTACGCTTCTTTAACTATATTATGGAATTGCATTGTATACTTTTCTTTTAATTTCAAAGGCTCTTAAGCTCTGGGGCACTCATCACTCTATCCCAGCTCCTTTGCTGATTCTTCTTATTCAAGATCCTTAGTCTGCACCTTCAATTCTCACTTTTTTCTTTATATTACATTGCCAACTGCCTACTGTGCCTTTCTAGTTGTATCTATCAGCATTTCTAAGATCAAATGCACTGCTGTTTCCTTCAAATTAATGCTGTCTTAACCTGTGGGTGTTTTACTATCAGTCATTTTTTTTTTTCCTGTGAATCATTTCTCTCTGCATCTGAGCCAGATACATCAGTTATCTTTGTCTTTCACTTTTGATTATCCCCTGGCTTAGTAGCATATGAGGGTTGGTTTTTTTTTCCATGTTTTTAGAACAGATTTCCTTGGCATTTTTACCTTGGTTTTTTCACATGTTCAAGCCTGAACAAGTGAGGGTAAAGTCTCAAAACATGTGATCCATAAAAAAGGGAATGACCAACAGTATACTTTTATGATACTTATGTGAGGCACATACCAATCTTATTTTATAACTAAGGAGCATCAAATGATATTAAAATGGTATATATCATGTAATTAGAGATTTATATACTGTTAATGAATCACAGTGTTTTTTAATATTTTATATAATTTTATTTATCCTCACCTGAAGACATTTTTTTATTGCTCTTTAGAGAGAGAGGACTTTTTTAAAATTGCTTTTTAGAGAGAGGAAGAGGAGGTGGGGGGGGAGAGAGAGAGAGAGAGAGAACATCAATGTGAGGTAGAAACATAGGTTGTCTCTCATAAGTGCCCCACCTAAGTATGTGCCCTGACTGGGGATTGAACTCGCAAACGTTCAGTCCACAGGACAGTGCTCCAACCAACTGAGCCATACCAGCCAGAGCATATATTTTATATAATTTTTTAAAAGTAGATTAGAATTGTTTTACATGTCTTAATTTTGATTTACAAGTAGGTATGACTAAAGAACCTATTAAATAATATTTAATTGACACTTCTTTGTCTTTGAATCACTTCTGTTAAAATTAAGTACCTCTGATTGTTATTCTTTTAAATGCAGGAATTTTATAAAACACCTGCCAAATTTTGCTGAGTAGATCAATTAAATATACAGTCAACTCTCGATTATTCCAACGAGTGGAGGAAGGATGGAACAAGCATTACCATTCCTCTGGTTCCTGCCCCCTCAGACCATTGTTGAAAGCCTCATTCCAGACAAATTCTTTGGCTTTCCATCTTGATCATGTTAACATTCTCTAGCCTTGTATCAAGGATGCAGCCTGAAATATGGCTTGCAATTGAGTTGACAAGAAAGTTTTATGATACCACATTCTGTTCTTTATATACATTTTTAAAATCAGTGCTTTAGGATTGCTTTGGTACTATTAAAATTCTCATTAAGATGTTACCTGATGGCTCATACAATTAGTTTTATATAAAAAATACTTATCTTTGAATTACAATTTACAGATAATTATAACCTTTCAAAAGCATTACCTCGTGGTACCAAATTATGTTTTAACACTTTTCAATATAAAAATTTTGTGAGAGTTTTAAGGGACTTTATAAAAATCTCACAGCTTTTTAAATTCTTAATGTGTCTAATATATCTGAGTACTATGTATTAAGGGAAGAAATGCTGAAGGAATTTATGTATGAAAACAGTATGTTGGGTGTATATAATACGTCATTTTCTCTACCGATTAACTACACACAATATGCTATTATCCAGACATAAGCATTCATGGTAATACATGTATCTGGATAACTGTGAGTTGAAATAAACACACCTGCCTTTTATTTCAATAATTGCACATTCAAATCCACTTAAGGCAATCATTTGAATGTGACCTCCATATACATGAGAGAACATTAGTTTTAGCGTTTGATTTTTTTGGTGATGTTTTGTTGTTGTTGGTTTAAATCTAAAGTAGATACAAATGATAGGTAATGCTTCTCTGGAAAATTGCATGCAGAGAAAAGGAAATTCAAAGATAAATCCTATGAAAAACATAAATTGTTTTATGTTTTGCATCAGTGTGTATTGGAGCTAAATTCTTGTAGAATGTAGCAATACTTAAAGCCAAAGTATGTACAATCCATAAACGGGCCTGGAATTGTGCCCACTTTGCTTTAATAATTTAATTATTTTTCTTTTCAGAATAAAGTCGTTAGCCTTTCATCTGGAGGATCTTTTTTTCCTTAAAAACCCAGTTCTTTGAAACGTATATGAGAATGTGTATCTGAGCTTCAAGAAATTGTTTTTTGGATTTTTGTTGTGGTTGCTGCTGTTAGACAGTGGCAGGAGTGTTTGTGCTAAGACTTATTTTGAAGTCTCTTGGTAGTTTCTCCTTCTCCTCTTCAACAACCCGCTCTTTAATTTAGGTTATATTTTGGTATAGTTTTAGCTGACATGAGCCAGAAAATTGAATTAGAATTTCTTTAGGAGTCTTAACTTTGAATTTCCTACTTTTCATTGCATGTAAACCAGCAGCCACAAAAAATAGTTTCAGTGTAATTTCTAGCTTGTATTTTGCATGTTAAAGCTGTAAAAAGTCTTAATACTAGAAAGAATTTATAGCTATTGTTCTGGTATTGCCTAATTGTTAAATTTATAAATAAAGACTGATTTTATTATTTATGAGATTTGTCTTTCTGCCTTAGGGAGTGAACTACTTTATGTCCAAGGGTATCCTAGACGATTCACCAAAGGAAATAGCAAAGTTTATCTTCTGTACGAGAACACTAAATTGGAAAAAACTGAGAATCTATCTTGACGAAAGGTAAAAAGAAATTAAATTTCTCATCAGAAATGAGTTTAGTAATTTTTTATGACTTTTTTTTTTTAAACTATACTACATAGCAGTTACGCATTTGCAAAATTGAGTAAAGACAGGGAAGAGATTCCTGTATTTTACAACCCATTTCTTTGCTAGCTTTAGCTTGCTGGTAAGGAAAGTACAAGTTAAAAAATTTCACACACACAACACCCATGCACACAAAGTGGAAGCCCGACATCTTTGTAATAGCAAGCCAAACCAAGCAGTTTTGAGGAGGCTGCAGTCCTTTTTCTTAATAACTAGCTATAAAATTTAAGTGTTTGGGTAACTAGAAGTTCTGAATTCTGAAATTACCCATGTAAAAATCAAATAGACAAATTGTAATAAACTCACAAATCCTAGTGATATGAAATATATGTATATATGGAAATATATGTATATTTCTATATCAATACTATACAATATGTCATGTACAACTTCAAAAATCCTGCAAATGTGTCATTGAACAGGATGTTTTGCACAGATATAAATGATGCCTAGTAGCTATTCTGACTTGATAGTCATTCATTTGTACTCTTTAATTATGGTTATCAATGGACATAACAAAATACTGGGATAATATTTTGATGTGACATCACTGAACTACTATTTTTAAAATTATAGGTCTCATACTAATCTAATGAATGGCTCAAAATATGTTGGTCTTTTTATTGTAATTTTCAGTCTTTTTTTACTTTTGGGGGTTTTTCAGCAGCAATCGGCATTCATTGTATTCTAGGAACTTTGCTAAAGACGAGGGTTATGCAGTTGATTAAAACATAATCCCTGTCTTTGAGGAGTTTACAGGCCAGCATACTGACCACTGACAGAATTCTCTTACATAAAGATGGTGTCATTAACTCTTTTCATCTTTAAATGGAAGGTACCTACAAATCAGTTTTTCTCTAAAGAAGCTGATCTTTTTATAACTATTTTAGGTTTTACAGGCCATATGATCTCTGTCACAGCTACTTATAACTCTTCTATTGTGTCTTGAAAGCAGATGTACACAGTACACAAATTAACGTAGCTGTGTTCTAGTAAAACTTTATTTACAAAAACTGGCAGTTGGCCATATTTGGTCCACTAACTGTTGTTTGCCTAGCCCTGCCATAAGCTACTGGTAGATATTAAAGATTGTGATTATATTATTATGATTTAGTTCAGTAATGATTGAAGCATTTATAACAAAAGTGACTATTAATTAGAATGCTATTGAGAAAAAATAATTTTATATACACACATATACAAATATTTCTATAATTGTAAGTAACCTAAATGTTTATCAGTAAAATTGTTACATTCATAAGACGCAATACTGTGGAGCTATTAAAAAGAATGAGATAGACTTATGTGTAAAGACATAGAAAGCTGTTTGCAATACAAGACAGAGAAAGCTGTTTGCAATACGAGGCCTGTCCAGAGAGTATACAGCCATGTACTATGAAATACAGAGACATTCAATGAAGAAGATACAAGAAACATTGTACATAAGACAACGACACCTCAGTCCCCTTCAGTAGGCACCTTGGGACCTCATACAGTTCCAATTGCCATCAGCTGTCCTATCATATTTTTCTGAATTGAAGGTCTGAAATCTTTTCCCTTTAAAAGGTGATTTCAGTTTTGGGAAAAGCTAGAAGTCGCAGGGCACCAAATCTGGGCTTTGAGGGGCTGAGTCAACTGAGTGATTTGATGTTTTGCCAAAAAATTCTGTACAAGACATGAGGCATGAGTGGGCGTGTTGTGGTGATGAAGCTGCCAATCACCAGCTGCCCACAGCTGCGGCCTTCTGAGTCATCCGAAGAGTTTCCATGGAGGAATGTTCAAGCTCAATGAAAAATTTGATGCAGATTCATTGCTCTACTTACTCAGTCATTTGGAATGTGACGGCCACACAATATACATACTCGCCCCACTGACTAGTACAGTGATGTTGTCATTGTTGACTCATGCACATTCCAGTCCACTCTCCTTGGCTGCCAGGTTACATCAACATCCCACAAACAATTCTCGTTATATTAATGGTGGTTGGACTTTTTCTGGACGGACCTCATATACTGGGCAATATAAATAGAAGAAAATTCTAGAACAATATGTAATATATTTAGACATTTAAAAAAGTGTGCAAAAACTGTTGTTACCTCTGGTGATATGTGGATTGGGATGGAAAATGAATACTCCTTATTTTCATAATTTAAAAATATAAAAAATTTTGTTGCTCATTTGGTCTTAGCCAAGAAGACACGTGAAAAGTATGGTAGCTGCCCTTCCTAATACTGAAAAATTTATTTTTTAATTGTATAATTAGAATTACTAGTTTTACCTTGTTATTCTACTTATGAGATATTTTGAAATCATTTAGTTCCTTAAATAATCACACTCATTTTTTTTTTAAATTATACTTTATAGGATTAGCTGGTCTGGTACTCAATAATAAAGTATTTTTATTCAAAAAATGATGATTAATAAAGAAATGTTAACTAAAGTGTATCTTTTTTCTTTGTTTTTATCAGGAGAGATGTCTTGGATGACCTTGTAACACTGCATAATTTTAGAAATCAGTTCTTGCCCAATGCACTGAGAGAATTTTTTCGTCACATCCATGCCCCTGAAGAGCGTGGGGAATATCTTGAAACTCTTATAACAAAGTTCTCACATAGATTCTGTGCTTGTAACCCCGATTTAATGAGAGAACTTGGCCTTAGTCCTGGTAAGAATATATATATAGTGAATTACTTCCTTCCCCCACTCCTAGCTCCAGGTAAAAACAGTAGTTTATGAGACATTTTTCTCACCATAGGGAAAAATTACAAATACTTGTTTTACTGCTTGTAGCAGTGACTACTTTAGTTTGCCACATCATTTATATATGGTAAATATACTGTTTTAGGAGGAAAGTTAGGCTTAGCTATATAGTTTAAAAAAAATTATTGTTTGAGCATTGGTATTTTTACTAGTCTAATTAAAAACTTGAGAAATTATTTTTAAAGCTTTTAATAATTTACATATTACATAGGTAACACCTAGAATTTTTCTACTAAAATATGTTTTTAATATAACTAGTGTTCATTATGTGTGTGTGCATAATATAGCCAGAGTCACTTACATATTTTTTCATGTGATACAGCTTTACTTATCTATTCATATCAAGTTTTATTGTGCTTACTTTACTGAGAAGATACTATAAAATATTTATCATACAAAATTTGTTGAACATGCTTTTACAAGACATAATGTTGAATTAGCATTATTAAGACTGTGAATTCTGAAATATAAACATCATGGTAGTGGCAAGCATTTGTAGCAAGTAGTAGTCATGAAGTTTGTTACTATTTTAATAGTAAACATCAACTATTTCCCTAAGTGTGTGTGTGTGTGTGTGTATAAAGAAGAAAATATTTTTGTTGCAGGGTGCTCAGCTTTAGCAATCTTTTCCCTAAAGATTTACTTTTGAGAGTAATGTGTAAATTCCATAGACCTTTAAAATACATATCTCAAATAATATTATTTTAGCAATCTTATGAGTTGTTTACATTTTATTTTCTGGTACCAGGTTAATACATTTTCTTGTCATTAAAGATGCTTTCAAATTAAATTAGGGTTTTGTAAAATCATACATAAATATGTGACTTTTTTTTAATGGGAAGGTTAATATACTGACAGTACAAAAGTATTTTTTGGGGAGTTGAATGGGACTCTCTATCACACTTGAAAGCGAGATGAAAATAAAGCCAATTATGACCTTTTAAAATTTAGAGTGAGTTTTCACTATAAACTCTTGAACTATTTTAAAGTTTTTTGGACTAAAAGAAAGTGCAGAATCCGTCTGCGGCGCGGGTGATGAGCCCGCCCCGTTTGCCCAGGACAGGGAATTTCCCAGGACACAGCACTGTCAGGGCGGAAGGTGGGGGAGGCCCGGGCAAACTGCAGCGGCTTGGGGACCCTGCAGTTAACATCCAGTCTTGAGCCCTTGGAATCATGAACTCAGTTGCCTTGTGTCATGCCTGTGGAAGCATTTTGAAACATTTCTTTTTCCTTCCAGACGCGGTCTATGTCCTGTGCTACTCTCTGATTCTGCTTTCCATTGACCTCACTAGCCCTCACGTGAAGAATAAAATGTCAAAACGAGAATTTATTCGAAACACCCGTCGTGCTGCTCAAAATATTAGTGAAGATTTTGTAGGGCACCTTTATGACAACATCTACCTTATTGGCCATGTGGCTGCATAAAGCACAATTGCTAGAACTTTAACTTTTAACTTTAAACTAAAAGCTGCCCAAGGACTTACTTAGCAGATATGGGGGTTACCTTAGTGCTGGTTCTTCTAGCCTCTGTATACAATCAAGCTTGAGTGTGCAACCTTGTTTTCTTTTACTATTTTCTTTTTTAGTAATCTCCTTGAGGAACTAAAGAATTTTGCAGAATTTTTCTTAATTTTGCTTATCATGTTTTGCACAAAGCAGAGCCCTTGTCTGATACAGCTGTTTAAAAAGTGTTAAACTGACATATACTCTAAAAGATAGTATATTTGTGTATTAGATTTTCCTGGAAAACTTTAGTCATTTCCATTCTTTTTTTAAAATACCATGTAATGTGTACATAATTAACTAAAGAGATTTATAATCATAATTATTTTATTGTAAAAATTTTAACTAAAGCCTTTTTTTCCTCTCAAACTGAGTCCTGAAATTTATTTGATTCTGATCTGATTATTAGTTGTTGAATCTTACTTTGGTAGAAATCAATACCAGCTTCTCTTTCCTTCGAACTTTGAAAAGAGTATTGATTTGTTAGTATGCAAAATAAGCACTTATTTTCATAATGTAAATTTATCACTTTTAATTTTTAAAACTTCTGGGTTCATCAAGTCACAATGAACAAAATATTATCACAACTTATATTTGAAGTCATTAGTCTAACTTTACTAATGACATAATGTTGATGAGATAATGATTTTGTAAATGATAGTAAACATTCTTCATTCATTCATTCAGTAAATCTTTATCAAGGGTCTTCCTCATGCTGATCACTATGGGAGGTACTCATGCTTAGAAACCTGGATATGGGCTCTGCCTTCACAGATGTCATGTGATTGGGTAATGAGAGGAAAAATACTGCTTAATGGAGATCGAATGTATAAAGTATATCTTAACTAACAATTATTTAGTAATTAAAACACTTAACATTGGAATGATAAAGAACAGTATATTTATATGGTAAGTCAAAAGTTCCGTGGAAATACCTGTAAGTGAAAAGCATCAGCTTTGGATTGATACACGATGTGATGGATAGAGCTGCTAGTTTATTGGGAGAGAATTGGAGGAGTAGAAACTCATTATTAGAGGTGTAGAATCCTAGTTTTCTTCCATATCTGGCCCTAAGTCAGTGTTACAACTGAATGATGTACAACAGAATTTTCAAGGACAAACCATAAGATAATCAAACAACTTTGGAAAGTCAAAGGAACTTTTTTTTTATTGTTATTCAACTCCAGTTGTCCTCATTCAAAGGTACTTTTATACTGGTAGTAAACACTTTCTAAAATTTTGAAACAAATATCATAATAATCTTCACAGGTACATAATCTTGAATTCCATGACAAAATAATTCTTTATCTTCAAAACTGATTAAATAACTTAAAAACTATCATGAAATTTACTAAAAACAAAGAGTAGTGATAATATTTATTATTGTTCCTATTTGCCAGTGAATGGCATATTGACCTCTTTATTTATCTCCTTTTATCTTTTGTTTTTCCATTCTTGTCTGTCCCTACCATTTGGTTTTCTCAGCGTATTTTAGCTTGACTATCTATTTTTCTTTTTTCTTTTTATCTTTTCTCAGTTTCTTTTCCTTTTCCCTGTTCTATTTTTCCATCCTGACCTGATTATTTTAGAGGACCTGACTGTCTTTTAGCAAAGGTAGCTACTAGAGGAAACACCCAGTAGAGTTATGGAGAAAAATGGAAAGATAAGGATCCTGATTTTTGAATTTGAAAGTATCAATAAAAGATTAATTGACTGCATCTGGAGAATAAGACTAGAGTTCAAAAACAATTGGGGCTGAATATGTACGTTTGAAGCATCATATTCGCTTATAAAGTCTGTTATATGAAGTGGGAAAGGAACTCTTCTAGGAAATATGTTGAGTATAAAGAAATACTTGGGAAACATAGCATTTTAAGATTTGGTAAAGAAAAAAGGTCAGAAAAAGAGGTTTTAAAACTGGAGAAGGGCCAGAGAAGAGTGGTATCCCAAGAACTAGGGAAGAAGAGATTTAGGAAGGATGTTAAGCTTTGCATGTGATGCAACCCAAGAAAATCGCTTTTCCTCATCTACACTCAGCTTTTTTTGAATCCACCTTTTCCACTTGGGGCTGAGTTCTTTGAGGCTAGAAAATCACAGGAGTGCTAATGGCTTTTATATTGTCTCTGACCCAATATTCTCTTACTCGGTGTGTAATCTGAGCTCTGCTGAAACCCACAAGAGTACTTATGATCCACTGCAACTGAGACCTGTCTACACTTTCCTTCTCTACTGAAGGCTGTGCTGTTTCAAGCTCAGAACACACCATACCAACTGGGTACTGCTAGTACATCTGTCCTATACACAATCAACACCTACGTTTTCTAACATACAGATTTTTTTAAAGGAAAGGTACCAAAAATGGAAAAATGCTTAAAAACATTGAGTTTTCCAAATTTATCAACAGGATTTTTCCTATTACATTCTGTTAAACCTAACACTCTAATCTCACTTGTTCTGCTTTCCCATCTGGAAAGCTTGTAACCCCTTCCCTAGATTTACCTGTTGAAATGTAATTAGTCCTTCAAAGTCTTCTCAGACTTTTTCCTCCAGCGCAACTTTCTCAATTCTTGCAGGTGAAAACTGTGTTATTTTGTCTCCCTCAGTTCCTAACACAGACCTTGGCCCAGAGCAGTTTCTCCATAAACCAACTGAATTATTTTAGCTCTGGTTCAGTTTCTATATAAGCATATGGAAATGATGCTTTACTATTTGCATTTTTAAAAAATATACCCAACCTCTTAGATGTATAAAAGTTACAAGTCAGAATATATTAGTATTTTAAAATATTAATACACATTTAACCTATATATTATTCTAGATGTAAATTCATCTCTCTAGGACTTCTAATTTTAAATATTTGGATAAATTTTAGCTTTGATACTGTTTTTCTTTTTTAATATCAAGAGTTTGAATCATTGATCTTGTTACTTCTCTAAGTTGATCTTTTATATTATCAACAATATTTTTGATATGGTGCTCAGTGAGAGGAAGCTTGTTCAGAAGTCTTAGTATTTAAAATAATAGCCTGTTTATTCCAATTGGAGTCTTTTTCTGAGTTTAAAGTAAATTTTTTCTTACAGATTACTATTTCTTAAAGATTACTTTTAATAACAGAACTACCTACAGTCTCTTTTCAAGCATTTGTGAGTGAATATGTCCTCTCTGGGAAGCCATCCTATGGAAATAGCACAAAATAGGCAAAAGACAGTACATACACGTTAATCACATCATTGTTTTTAAGTTCTTTTTTAAAAAGAAACAACTGGAAAGCCTCAGAACTTGGGTCTTTTCTAACAAATAACCAGCAAATATTTGAGTACATACTATGTACCAGACACTATGTTAAGCACTGGTGAAGTATACCAAAATACATCCTCATGAAGCCATGATGTTTATTTAATAAATAGCATGAAAAAAAACAGTTACAAAAGCTGATATTTAAAAAGATATTAAGTTGTGCATGTATACATATATTACAATTACTATGTAAAACAAAGCAAAAACCTATGACTGGAAAAAAGGATCAGAATAAAATATACCAAAGTATTACAGATAATGAATTTTTTCTTATTCTTTCAAATATTGTTAAAGGTTATATATTTTAGGTACAGTGAAATAAATTCATTGAAAGATAAATGATGTCCTTAATTTAACTAGTATAGTTTCCCCTCAGAATGTTTTCATGTATTTTTATTCAAAATTTGTTTTATTTTTAAAAGACACTTGGTTGATCTGTTAAATCATATCTGGACAAATGTTTTGTTTGTAGGCTTAGAAAAGTGGATTTCTTTATTTTATTTTTGTCTAATCGAATTAAAGACCAACAAAAGAAAGATACCAAATCTTTACTGAGGAAATTTTCATTTGTTAAAAAGAAAAAAATGGCTTTCTTCTTGGCATGGCTGGATAGGAAGGTTGGATTTAATTTAGAATGATTAATGAGATTTTGTCAGGCTCCTTGACTTGACCACCACTGCAGTTTGTCAGCACAACAACCTGGGAAGCCCGGACGCCACTCTGTCGCCCAAAACCACTCTCCAGGGAAAAAATTAACTGGCAGGACTAGTGCCAGGTTCACGTCAGTGGCATTGTCTCTCGGGTATTGACAGCTTAAAAGTCTGAATCAGAGATATGTATGTTGGGGGGCACACATACCTAGCATATTGTTTTCAGTCTCTTTACAAGTGGTTAACTGCTTTTGAAATATTTAAGTTGTTGCTCTTTTTCCCAAAGGAAACTATTTAAAGACAACGTCTTTACAAAGTTCCTCCTCCCCAATTTATTGTAAAAATTAAACAAAGTAAAAGGATCTCAAGTTACTTTCTGTTTTTCTTTCAATTCTTTTTTTTACATAAAGAGTTAAGATGAAGCTTTTCTTAAAAAGTGAAATCATTTTTCAGTTTTGAAAACACTTTTTTTGAACCATCTGCAAGACCTAATTTTACAATCAAGTTTCAGATGAAGCTACAAGGTTGTGATCTGACTTAATATACCTCCTTTTTATTTACTTATGCACTTATGTTTAAAAATAATGAGTCATTATTAACCAAACCAAAATTACTGATCATGGCTAGTTATTATGCGGTGAATGCATATCTAGTTTAATATATAGTTTTGCTTTGGTGTTTAACTGTAAGAAACCCACATTTATGATCTTATTTGAAAACCCTGTCCAAAAGAGTTCAGACAGGAAGAATTTCTTCCAACAAATGCGTAGAGAAGGTCCTAAGGATCCGATAGACATCCCTAGACTACTTTGTAGGTATTTAACATAACATATACTGGCCAATTTCTTATCATAACAAAATGAACACAGGGTTGTTTCCTATTAAACAGTTGCAGCGTAGCTGCCCCTCCTGAGCTGGGTGAATACACGCAGGCGGAGGGGAGAGGCCCGCTGCCAGGGCCAGACGCCCGGGGAGCCTCTGCCCAGGCCCCCTGCAGGGGCCGCCGGAGGGAGCCCCAGCGCGGAGGGACATGTGCTCCCCAAGGCTGCCGCCCTCGCTGAGAAGGAAGCAAGAGGAGGAAAATAAAGCAGCCGTGCGTGTATACCAGCACCGCTGTCGCCCATGACGTTGCCCTGCAGTGAGGTTCTTCCCAAGCCAGTGTCATTTTCAATCCTGAAGCCATCGAATAGTTTATTGTATTTCTACAGTTCTAAGAAATGATATAGACTACTTCCAATGTGTGTGAAATTTTGTGAGATCGCATTTTAGGTGGTGGATTACATATTTTTCCCCCTAAATATCTAGTGTAGGAAGTTGTGTTTTCTGGAGGAATTCACAGTTATTCATTTCATTTCACGTTGGAGATTTGTGGTGTTGTTGCAGAAGTAATATATACACGTGTGTGTTCCTCTCCTTCCCTTAATTAATCTGGGAAC